AGGATACATTTTATTCTGGCATGAGGGATTTATACACATAGTTGCCATTCACGCTACCGGGAGTTCCACTACTCGCCAGCATGCAACCATGTGCTAATAGATTCTCTTAAGACTCTACTCTAAGCACAATCATACTAGAATTCGTGCTTTTCCACTAAAAGATTAACGGGTGGTACCACTAGGGAGTCTGAATGAGGTTAAGTAGCGACTGCAATTGCAATTTGAGTTCAGTCAGATAAATTATACAGTAGGTCAGTGAAATGTCCCACAAAAAAAAGGTGAAAGTGGTTCAAGTTTAATTTAAGAGAAAGCACGTCACAGAAGTTTCCTGTGCTCTAAAATGTAGAGTTTTGAATCTTGTTTCCTGAATGGAAAGTGGGTTTTGGTTAATATTAAAACCTTGACGTCTTAGTGTTGCCTTCTTAAAAACCTAGCTTACTCTTCATTATACATGTGAAGAATTAATGGCCACCTGTTTGCTTTCAGGGAAGGCTAGAATATAGATCCTAATCCTATCTTCATTATACTCCTTTAAAACAACTGCAGAGATGCAATTATATGTATTATGCTACAAGTTTCCTACCATAATGAACTCAGGTTATTCAGTAAAACACTGTTACACAGTTTCATTTTGAGTAAGGTTCGGTGCATTACCAAAAATAGATTTACCAACCAATCTTTAACCCAGCAATAATTCTATGTATTTTATGTATTAACTCTGTCCATCTGAAGAAAAGAGATGGTAGGATATTGCTGCTATGGGGATAGGAGTCTTCTGTCATTGATTTGGGCTACTGATGTTGGGCAGATTTTTATTTAATTACATGACATGGCTACATGTCTGAATTCCAACCTTAGATTTGGGATGAAAGTGAAGGTATCAAAATAGCTAAAAGGAAATTAAAAGGAACAAAGAGAGAGAGAGCGCAGTGAATAAGAGGTTCTAACGTTACAGCAAATCCGGCGTTTAAAAAGAGATTGCTGCTCCTTCAGTTACCAGGAAGGTCAGGGAGTCTGACCACCATAACCCTTCTCCCAGCCACCAGTGCATCTACATTCCAGACTGCAAAGCAAGTCCTGGGTAGATATATGGCTAGTAGGTACTCTGGCTACTCACGTGAAATAAATATCATGCCTATATTCTTTCAGGATCAAATAATTTGGGCTGACTTGGATTACAGTTGTTTTTAAAAATGCAGTGGGAATTTTCATTCCTTCTCCTTGGAAATGTTGATGTCTCCAGACAAGGCTCAGCATGACTGTCACTTGGCTTATGATGACTCCCTCTCCCAATAGCAAAGGACATTTTTCTCCATCCATTTTATGCCTATATTTGTGTGGCGATGGTGGTTGCAACTACTCTAGTTTAGAGCTGTGCACATTTTGTGTAAAATGAGCCCCTGCAGAAGACCTGCCAGACTCCAATTTATAAATAACCTGATGACAACTTGAAGTTAAGCACACAAGGGGGATAATTTTCCTTCTATGAATCTGTGGCGGCGTGTGCCCTTCCCATCACAGGAATGGGACTATTCTGCCTGATCGGTCGCTGGACTGACAACCGTTTCACTGGTCCATAAGTGTCTTGATCCCTGCTCAACTCTAAGTCCTTAAGTTGGCCCGTCCCCCAGGAAGAATGGCCTACAGGCCAAAGTCAGTAAGCCTTCCTGGCTTCTGGGTAGTAAGGCCTAATAGCCCAAGTCAGTGAGCACCTTCACTTCAGGGCTTTAGGGCTTAACAGCCACAGTCACTGAGCCTGCCTGGCTTCAGGGTAGTATGGCCTAGTAGCCAGAGTCAGTGAGTACCTTTGCTTCAGGCAGTAGGGCTTAACAGCCCGCTTCAATAAGCCTTCCTGGCTTCAGGGTAGTATGGCCTAGTAGCCAATGCCAGTGAGACAGGGTTAGCCTTTTATACTGCTCCAGCACTTGGAGCATGCCCAGTCTGGTTGAAGGGGTGGGACTTCCTCGGCTCACGGTTTTCACCCACCCTGTTCTCGTGTGTGGTATACCCACCTCGTCAGAGTATCTCTTCTCCACCAAGATAGTAATAGGATAAAGCTCATCCCTGATGCAATCCCTTGGCTCTGGCATCTGACTCAAGCTCCAGCTCTAGGCTCCAGTTCCTGATAGCTGACTCCTACTCTAATCACAAGAATTGACTCCTGCTCTAACCACTAGACATAACCACCTACATTCTGGTCTCTGACACTAAGTCTGGGATGGCAGAACAACTCAGGTATCAAAGTCATGAGCAAGTTACCTAGTCATCCCAAACAAGTGCTGATAAAAACATTGATGCTGTAAACACTACTATATATGCTTGCGAAATCAGGTACCTGAGTTCGGAGGAAGCCAGCTGTATTTGTCTCAGGTGGAAGGCAAAGAAAAATTAAAGCTAACATTCCTATATATGATGTCACATTAACATCTCATATCTTGGGAGCTGCCAGATTGTGGAATACATCCTGGTGCATCGGGCAGATGTTTGAAGGGACCATTTGAATACTTATCCAAAGAAAACTTGAGATTCACTCATACTTAGCCCAGGGGCGGGGAATAATTTTTTGCCAGGGGAGGGGAGAAGGATACTTCCAGGCTTTCCCACCCACAGACCATGATTGGTCTGGGGGGTGGGGAAGTGCATTTGCCCCTCTCCCAGGCTCTCCCTCGGCACCCATGCCCCTGGTGGTGGGAGGAGACATCGCACGCTCCCTCTTCTGCCCCCAGGCCAATCAGGGGTTGGAGGCAGGGAAGCGCACGAAGTCTCCTCCCGCCCTGCTAGGAGCGCTTGGTGCTTCTAAGCACCACACACTTCTGGTAGAGCTGGAGAAGGCTTCACGCACTCCCCTGCTCCCAACCCTAATGCAGGGCAGCGGCAGGGGCAGGGTGGAGGAAATTTTCCACACGCCTCCCATCCCCAGGCCCTGATTGGCCAGAGGAGCACACGAAGCCTTCTCCCACGCTGCCAGGAGCATGTGGCGCTTTTAAGCGTTGCGCACTCCTCGCAGGGCGGAGGAAACTTCGCACGCTCCCCCGCCCCCAGGCCCAAATCAGCCTGCAAGCAAGGGTGCAGCAGGACCTCCACAGGCCGGATCAACCCACGTGGAGGGCCAGATCTGGCCCACAGAGGCCCTTTTGCCCACCCCAGCTCCACAAGATCCATTGCTGGGGCCTTATGATCCTGGGATGGGGATATCAATCAATTTCTCCCCCCCCACCTTCCATCCAAATTCCTCCAGCAAATCCATTACTTGGGGCTTACCAATCACCATCCTTGTAGGTGAGGTAAAGTGGACTAGAATGATGGGGGGCTGGCTCCATGCTGTACCAATCATAGGAGTCTCTAACTACCCCAACTCTCTCCATTACCAACCACCTCACCCCAAGACATTTATCTGATACTGTATGCCTTGTTTTATGGAGCACCTGCATTGAACTTTTGCTGTTCACTGAAATAACGAGTTGCGACATATGACCTGCCCTCTGTCGTGTTCTGCATGAACACGCCCACCCATACCTGCTGTGAGGAAGGTGACAAAACCCAACTGTAGCTGGGCCAATATGGTGGAAAGAGAAAAATTCCTTCCCAGCCCCTCTCAATGGGACAGCTAACATGATGCCCGCAGCAGAAATAGTCATTCACCTGGTATATTTATCAACAGAATAAGCAGGGAGGGTTGGTGCTGCTGATCCTGCCCTGTGAATAAGGAGTGGGTCCTAGCACAGGCTCACCTTTTAAAACCCCTCATCCTGGGGGATAAATAAGCCACCACACTGGTCCCTTTTCCAGCAGCTTTACATCTCCCTTTTCTACCCCGGCGCCATCAAGAATCACTCTTTTCTTACGGCCAGCCCAACAAACCACCCCGTAGCTTACCACATAGGGTGGTGATTTTTATTACTAGTTTTAGGTCAAATCACATTTCATCCAATGGTAAGCAAACCTCCTTATTTCTGTGGTAAGATTATTGAGTTACTGGCAGAGCTTTCTAGCTTTTTAACAAAGGTTTCTTAATACAGGCAGTCTCCGGGTTACGTACAAGATAGGGACTGTAGGTTTGTTCTTAAGTTGAATTTGTATGTAAGTCGGAACTGGTACATATTGCAGGGGAAACTCTAGCCAAACATTTCTCCAGAGCTCAGTTTTATTCTCCCACACCTCCCTTCCCTCAGTCCTTTATTCTCAAGCTGAGGTGTCTGCTGAGAAAAGCCGTTCCATGTCTCCCTGGTCTGCTGGGGGGAAGCATCTAGTGTGGGGTTGCCTCACCCCGTTTGTAAGTAGGGATCCGATGTAAGTCGGATCCATGTAACCTGGGGACTGCCTGTAGTTTATTTTCTGTTCATTGATACTACGAAAACAATAACATTTAGGTATTTTTACTAGCATAAAGAGCTCTTTAAGCATAAATGTGTAGGAGTACCCATTGAACAAATTGGGGGGAAGCATCTAGTGTGGGGTTGCCTCACCCCGTTTGTAAGTAGGGATCCGATGTAAGTCGGATCCATGTAACCTGGGGACTGCCTGTAGTTTATTTTCTGTTCATTGATACTACGAAAACAATAACATTTAGGTATTTTTACTAGCATAAAGAGCTCTTTAAGCATAAATGTGTAGGAGTACCCATTGAACAAATAAGTTAGTGATAGATCTGTATTTCATAGTATCCATCCCCCCCC